GGTGTTGGAAAAACTGGATATCAACCTGTCACAGATTAAAATTAGACCCTTATCTTTCGCCATGCACTAAATTAAAATCCAAATGGATTAAAGATCTAAATATTAAAACAGAAACATTAAACTTGCTGGAAAGTAAGTTAGGCAGAACTCTGGAAGACATTGGTATAGGAAAAGACTTTATGAACAAATCCTCAGTAGCACGGGAACTAGCAGAAAGAATCAACAACTGGGATCTCATCTTACTAAAAAGCTTCTGTACTTCAAAAGAAACCATTAGCAGAACTAAGAGACAATCTACAATGTGGGAAAAAATTTTTACCAGCTGTACCTCAGACAAAGGACTATTATCAAGGATATATAAAGAACTCAAAACAATCAGTCCCCCCAAATATAAAGACCCGATCCAAAAATGGGCATCCGAAATGAACAGACATTTCTCATACAAAGAAGTGAAAGCAGCAAGAAAATATATGAAAAAATGTTCCACATCACTGGTCATTCGAGAGATGCAGATGAAAACAACACTGAGATTCCACCTCACCCCACAAAGAATGGCTGCTATCAAGAAATCACACAATAACAAATGTTGGCGGGGTTGTGGGGAGAAAGGAACCCTCCTCCATTGTTGGTGGGAGTGCAGACTAGTGCAACCACTATGGAAATCAATATGGAGATACCTCAAAGAGCTTGGACTGGAGGTTCCATTTGACCCAGCCATCCCTCTGTTGGGTATCTTTCCAAGAGAACTAAAAGAATCATATCACAGAGAAGTATGTGCACCCATGTTTATAGCGGCACAGTTTGTAATAGCTAAATCTTGGAAACAACCTATTTGCCCATCCGTTGGAAACTGGATAAAGAAGTTGTGGTTTTTCTATAAAATGGAATATTACTCAGCCATAAAGAGCGAGAGAATAGATTCATTCATAGGAAAATGGATACATATTGAAGATATACTCCTAAGTGAAATAAATAAGTCCCACATGTGTAAATACCAAATAGTTTCCCTGGTGTGAATATTCTGCAACAATGCATAAGATTCTAATAAGATTACTGACATTTAGAAATGGGAGGAAAGGAGCTAAAGGTGTAGGGAAGGTGTGATACGTAGGGGAAGAACAAAAAGGGAAAAGAAAAAAATGTGAGAGAATGAAAAGATGAAAATAAAGTGTTTGTAGATGGGGAGGGGAGGAGGGGGTGAAGGGAGGGCAGAGGTAAGGGGAAAAAAATGAGAATCAAGACTTGCCATGTAAAGGTACATGATCCCAACAATGAATGTAACTGTACTGTATCCCTAAATGTACCAATAAACTCAATTAAAAAAAAAAAAAAGAAATTAGAGGAAGAAACAATTCAAACCTAAATCTAATACAAGGATGGAAATAATAAAGATCAGAGAAGTTAATAAAATTGAAACTAAGAAAAAAAATCAATGAATCAAATCTGGTTGTTTGAAAGCATAAACAAAATAGAAAAAAATAATCTTAATAATAAAGATCAGAGAAGTTAATAAAATTGAAACTAAGAAAAAAATCAATGAATCAAATCTGGTTGTTTGAAAGCATAAACAAAATAGAAAAAAATAATCTTAGCCAAGCTTACCAAAAGAAAGAAAGAAAAGACACATACCAGTGAAATTAGACATGAAAAAGGTGAAATCACAACAAACATACCCAAAATCCGGGAGATCGTTAGTAGCTGTAATGAAAATTTATGTTTCAACAAATTGCAAAATCTTGAAGAAATAGATTTAATTCATGGACACATACCAAAACTGAACCAAGAAGAAAGCAAAATGCTGAAAAATCCAATGAGAGATAATGAAATTGAGCCCATAATTAACAGAAACAAAAACAAAAAAAAAACTCTAGCAACCAACAAATAGCCCAGGACTTTTGGGCTGATGGATTCACTACTGAATTGCACAAGATCTTCAGTGAATACAACCTCAGTGCTCCTCAGCTCTTTAATGAAATTCCTGGAATTTCTTTAGTGATAGTCCTCCAAACTCATTCCTAGAGGCTACCATTGCCCTGACTCTAAAACTAGATGAGGACCCAAATAAAAAAGAAAACTACAGGGCACTCTCTTTAATGAACACAGATACAACCGTCCTCAACAAGGTACTGACAAACAAAAATGCAACAAATCATCAGAAAGATCATACACCATGACAAAGTAGGCTTCATCCCAAGGAAGCAAGGATGGTTCAACACATGAAAATCAAAAAATGTAAACCGTCACATAAACACAAACAAGGGCAAAAATCACATTATCATCTCAATTTATGCAGAAAAGGGCTTTCACAACATCTAATATCCATTCGAGGAAAAAAATCTGAAGAAAATAGGTATAGAAGCATCTTATCTCATACACTGCCAACATCATATTAAATGGGGCAAAGCTGAAGGCTTTCTGTCTGAAATCAGAAACAAGATGGGGAAGTCTACTACTACACAACTTCCATTCAATATAATACACAGAACATTTGCCCCCCCCCGCTTCACCTTGTTGAGATTTCTTGGTGTCTCAGTTCTTTATTTCTGCATCAACAACACTGGGGCTTATAATTCCAATAATGAACCCAACAAGAAAATATAAGGAAAATAATAACATTCACAATAACAGCAAGAAAATTTAAATGCTTGGGAGTTAATTTAACCAAGGAAGTGAAAGATTTCTACAACAAAAAACTGCAGTACTCTGTAAAAGGAGTTTGAGGCATACATCAGAAAATGGAAAAACACCCCCATTCCTGAATAGGCAGAACCAAAATTTTCAAACTGGCCATACTCCCAAAACTGATATATAGATTTATGCAGCCCCAATCAAATTATCAATAGCATTCTTCACAGAGCAAAGAATGCAATCTTAAAATTCACATGGAACCAGAAAAGACCCAGAATATCAAAAGCAATCCTGTATATCCAAAACAAAATAGGAGACATAATCCTTTATTTCAAGGTATTTTTAAAAACTACAATGATTAAAACAGCATGGTACTAGCAAAAACAAACAAGGCAATGTCAACAGCAAAAAGACATGTGGAGTAATAAAACAGAATAGAGAAAGCAGAAACAACTTTAGGCACATTCAGCTGCTTGACCTTTAATAAAAGGGCCAAAAACATGGGCTGGAGGGAAAGATAGTCTCTTTAATAAATAGTGCTGGAAAACTGGCTATCCACCTGCAGAAGATCTAGGCTAGACCCACATCTCTTACCACATAATAAACTCAAATCAAGAGTTCAGGTTCTTAGATGGGTGTGGTGGCTCACGCCTATAATCCCAGTGCTCTGAAGGCAGTTTGGGAAAGAGGACCACAGTGAGTTCAAAGCCAACCTGGGCTACATAGTTCAAGTCCGGAACTACAAAGCTAGATCCTGTCTCCAAAAAACCGAACAAACAAAGAAACAAAGAGTCCAGGTTCCTAAATATTAAAACAGAAAAACAATCTGCTAGAAGATAAGGTAGGTAAAACTTCTGAAATCATAGGCATAGGCAAAAACTTTTTGAATAGAACTCCAAATGCACATGAAATAACATCCAGAATTAACAAATGAGATTGTATTAAATTTTAAAATCTGCATAGCAAAGAAAAAAAACAGTGAATAGACAACCAATAGAATGGAAAAAAAAATTGCCAACTGCGCCTCAGAGAGAATTAATATCAAGAATATGCAAAGAACTAAAAAAAATTAGACCCTCCCAAGAATAAAAGACCCAATCAAAAAAGTGGGCAAGTGAAATAAATAAACAGTTCTCAGAAGAAGTACATAAGGCTAATAAGTACATTATAAAGTCTTCAACATCACTAGTCATTAGAGAAATGCAATTTATAACAACACTGAGATTTCTTACTCCAGGAAGGATGGCTATCATCAAGAAATCAAATAATAACTAATGATAGCAAGTCTGTGAAAAAAAAAAACTATTCTTTGTCTTTGGTGGAATGTAAAATAGTACAACTACCATGGAAATCAGTATAGATATTCATCAAAAAACTTGAAATAGAAATTCAATTACACACAGCTATTCCCCTGCTAGCTATCTTCTCAAAAAGGTTAAAGTATGTTATAGGGATACATGCATACCCATATTTATAGAAACACAATTCATAATAGCTAAATCATGGAAGCAGCCTATATGTCCATCAACAGATAAAGAAATTATGGTATTTATATGTAACAGAGTACTACTCTGCTATAAAGAAGAATAAATTTGAGTCATGCATAAGAAAAATGGATGTACCTTGAATTGAGGATGTTAAACTAAATCAGACAAACAAGCTTAAATATCTTAAGGTTTCTTTTATATTAGAAACCTAAAGTATAAGTAAATCAAGGAGAAAGATAAAATAGATGAGGGGAAATAGGGAGATAGATATTTGACAAATAGAAAGGGGACAGGGCCAAGGATGTAGCTCAGTGGCACCATGCCTGACTGGCGAGCACAAGGTCCTGAGTTTGAAATAGGAAGGCACTAAGAGATGTTGGGATGGTGGAGGCATGGAGGGGATGGGGATATAAAAAGAATTAACATGGTTGTGTACATGTGCCAACTACCCACAATGAATGTATTCATAATGTACCACAAACATATACTAATATAAAAAATAGAAGGCTGTCAGGGAGCCATCAAGTCCAAACATTAGATTGGAACTCTCAGCCAAGATTGTAATCACTCACTGAGTGTATTAATAAGCTTTAAAACATCAAGGTGCAAAAATGTCAAGTTACAGAAAATCCAATAATACAAACTTGTTTAAGCAAAGTAGAGAATTAAGTGGCTTAGAGTCAATATAATACATGACTGCCTGAGAAACCACAATAGGTGTCACCAAAAGATCTCCACGTGCCTGCCTCTCTTTGGCTCTGCTCTCCACTGTATATCAGCTTCAACTTTAACAGTCACCTTCAATATTTCATAAATGCCTGGAATTTCTAGACCATAAGGCTTCTTAGACTTCCACCCACAATAACTGACGTATGTGTTTGTTACCTGGTAGTCTACAGAGGTGCTCCCCTTCTTGCTCTGAAAAGACTTGCTTCTGTCACATGCCCAACTTTGGACCACTGACAAGGGCTTGTTAAACACATGTTACAAGACTGGCTCATGTGCTCCATCCCTGCAGAAAGGAAATAAATTCAATGGTCACAAATGGATAAGGGATAGTTCTAAATAAATACTCACTACACAAGCATCTTGGATCTTAACTCTATGAGAGTGAGTTTGTGGACAATAAGTGGAGTCTCTCAGGAGACAGAAATCATTTTACCAAAATTGTTAGCAAGGTTAAATCCTAGTTATCACAGCAGGGACAAGAGGAGACTTGGTTGAAATTCTGCAACTCCTTCAGGTCAAGTTCACGAATTGTCTGTTTCCAGGACAAGTGTGATCATGTCAGTATCTATGGCAGAAGGCCCTGCAGAGGCAAGCCTAATGTTTTCTGCTGAAGAATTAAGTAGACTGCAACCAGGTCCTTAGTGAGAAAGATTAGCTTCCTCCAGTTTTCTTAAACCTGTGGTCTCTTCATTTCCTTGACAATTGACAATAGAGAATATCAAAAAAGAGTGCCATTTCGCTCACCTTTCATGAACTTTCCTTCTGAAGAGATCACTGGTTCCATACAAGGTCATAAAAATGTCACAACTATACAAATTTGGCCCAAACTACAAAATAATAAGTAAACAAACTAGGCCAAATTAGTAGGAGAGCAACTGAATGCCTCCATCAGGGTTCTGAACATGTTTCTTATCTCAGTTCCTACCTAGACATGTAATTCCAAAGCCTGAGAGAAGGGGACTCAATGACTGGCCTTGTGTGTCAGCTGGGGGCTGCCTCATAGATGGTGAGCATCATGACAGGCCCAGATACTTGAAATCTTCAGTTGCCAGAGGAGAGGTTCCCTGCAGCTATTGCCAGGCCTAGACAAAACAGAGACTCATGTGAGCAAGCAGCTAAACCCGAAACTTACTGAAACTTACTTGGGCACAGAAGGAGTGGGTTGTGTTCTGACCCCAATTTCCACACAAAGCTCAACTCGAGCATAAGCAAGGCAAGCACAAGCTTACCACCACTGGTGCTTCAAAGAGAATTGTCAATGATCTTATCCTCCAACACCATTACCATCTGGACCTTCTGTCTTTGCTGGAATAGGTTCTCTAGCTCTGCCTGAGAAAAGGCAGGTCTTTGTTCCAGCCAGTCAGTGGTGACTCTTCTCCATCCTACATGTTCTACAAAGTCTGAATTCCATTCTAGTAAACTTATTTTTCATTTAATAGTCATATTCCAATTAGATTTGGTTTTGGGCCAGGGATTTAGCTCAGTGGTTCCACCACCTGCCTCACAAGTGCAAGGATCCAAGTTCGATTACCAGTACCAAAAAAAAAAAAAAAAAAAAAAAAGATTTAGTTGTATATCCCTAAATTGGTTTGAAAAAGTCTTATTCTGAACTTAAGTGTATGCCTCAGTAGATTGCACTATCATTCCTTGTCTAAATATTAATTTTCTGCGATGCTTAAAGTTGGATTTGTTTCCAAAATCCCTTGCAATTTCAAATTATTTAATACACACATTGATTAAAACATCGAAGCATGTACTGATATTTAATTTGAATGTGTTTATGTGGTATTCCACCAAAAAGTGGCATATCATTTAAGACACAAACAAAATTAAATAATTTTTGAACCTGCTTTCCACTAGGAGAAATGTCAGTGACTTCATTAGTTTTTACCTGAGGCCATGGGTGACATACTTGTTCTCAGGCCTAGCCCAACCCAGGAAGTAAGCAGGTTTCTAGGAAGCATACCCAGGTTTGATCCCAAATTTCTGTAAGGTCCTCCAAACTGCACCCTTAGGTTCCAATATGCTCTGTACCTGGACTCCTCTAGAGTAGAATTCCTGTTCTCTTGCTAATTACTTCCCCATCTTCTGGTGCTTCAGTTGTTCTACCATCAACCAGATGTCCTTTCCAAAATCTTCCTCAAACATATCTTGTTTTTTCATTTCCTTGTCCATATGTTCTTTTATACTTTTTTTATATCATACTGATGCACCTAAGTTGCACAGAGACCATTTATATTCTTCTTCCAACTACAAAATATTATAGCACATCATGTTCCAACTGCCTGCTCATATTTTCCTTGCTCCCCTAAAGTGTAACTATGACCTACGCTGCTTATAGTTGTTAATTATGCCTTTTCTGACCACATAAATCCAGGACTGGGTCACATTGTTACATTCAGATTTTTTTTTCATATGTAACAGGTAATCAATAATGCCTTTATTAGTTTTGCTTTGTTTTCCTAAATAATTAAAAATGGAAAATTGTCATCATATTGTGAGTCTAGACATGCAGTCTTTCTAAATATCTAGTGGTTTTACAGTTTTTCAGACCGTAAAAGGAATATTGGTTTATTACTCATCTAAATGCTAACTTTCCCAATCCTGCAGATTGCCACCAAACAATTCTTGCTTCAGAGCACAACAAATACTGACTTAATGGGTCAGTTGTGTTTCTCTGTAAGGTAGAAATGTCTTTGAATTCAGTCTCTGAAGTCGCTTCAAAACTGGATTCTGTGGGGTGTGGTACTGCACACACCTGTTTAATTCAGCTCTCAGGAGGCTGAGATGGGAGAACCACATGAGCCCAGGACTTTGAGACCAGCCTGGGCAAGGCAGCAAGATCTAATCTCAATAAAAACATGGATTCAGGTTACCTATGGTTTCATACACCCCTTCATATACAACCCTGATCCCTTGGCATGTGCATACATGCTAGTTTGATAATGCATATAGACCAAGATTCATATTTTTCAGAAGAAAATCATGTGATCTGTTCAACTGAACATAAATAAATACAACTGACAAAGTTCACTTCCTTTGGCCACTTTTTAAAATCACCTTAGTTTCAATTTTTATACACTATGAAATAGGATAGCTTTATTTCCCTATGCATGTATGTTGCAAATTTAAAGTTTTTTCTTGACATTTCTGAAAGAAAATACCAATTCCCAGCTTCTGCAAATAAACAAAATATATGATGTGATTTTTTTCCTAACTTTACTGAAAATATACTAAATGACCTACAGCCATATCTGTAATTAGTTACAATAACATGAACACAACCAATGAAACTTATTTATTTAGTTTCACCTCTAGATCTTACCTGTAAAAGGAGAAGAACAACAGAGCATTACATATTTAGGGTAAAAGGAAATTTTGCTAACTTAAATCAACACACTTTTTGGTGTCCATTAATTAGAAAATTTGTATGTTTATTAAGATCTTCAAATAAACAATATAACCCCAAAATTATTTTAATGAGAATTTATAGACATTTACATGGAATGGAAGACAAAATGAAACAAATGCTAGTTGACCTGAGGATATAGGTGTTTAAAAATAAAAATGTGGGCCGGGGATTTAGCTCAGCGGTTCGGTGGCCTGCCTTGCAAGCGCAAGGACCCGAGTTCAATCCCCGGTATCAATCAATAAATAAATAAATAAATGTGGTTTTTAATATACAGTAAAGTTCTACAAAACAATAGTATGAAAAGAATTACAATGTGGTTGGTGGGAAAATGAATAGAATAGTTATCAGAATGGCAAATGTCACAATTCAAGAGATCATAGTTATAAAGGAGTCTACATGTCCTTGTTGGCTGCATGATATCCTGAATATTGGACACAGCCCCCTCTGCAAAGAAGGGAGGAATAAAGGTCCCTTTGAAAAGCACGATAAAGTCCCTATAGGATTTGGGGGCTCTTGAAACAAGCTGCACGGCAACAGCTTGCCTCTGCTTCCTGCTTCAGTGAAGGTTGTTGGAATATGAATTAGAGGTACAGCACTGGAAACATTTGCAAGTTCATGTTAAAATTTGATTTCCCAACTCAAGAATACAGTTGATGCAGAATTCATTCCAAGTAATATTTTAAAGGTGCCCTACAGAAAAGCTTAGTGCATGAAATAAACACCAACCACCTTTGTTCCTATGAGTAGTCTCATGAGAGGACAAACAAAGTAGATTCCATCAGTACTGAGTTAGAGACAAGAAAATGTCTACAGAACATGGCACCTCATCCACGGCCATATTACCAGACAATGTCATTAAAAGTTATGTCTGGAAAGTTTTTCAGGTCAAAATTCAATCATCCACTCTAATCACTTACCACTTATAATTTTAACAAATCATGTTAATACCTTCTCTACTGTTATAAAATCATTTTCCAAGCCCAAAATGCATTCTTGTTTTCTCCCATGAAAATACATACCCAAAAAACAAATAACAAATCTGAAAACTGGAGAGTAGGGGAAAGTGTATACAATTATTTTGTATAACATGTGATACAGATACTGACTACCTATATCTGTCTAGGAGGACTTTGTTGTATGGCTCCATTCTCCTATTTCCTGAATTTTCAGTTTCTAATTTAATTGTAAGACACAACAACTTAATAAGACCTTTTGTAGCAATGATTATATAATTACATTTTTAAGTAATGGGAAAATACTAGACAATTAGTAACTCCTTTATTCTTCAGTATGATAATTAGTTTGAATACAAATGCTTTTCTAATTCAAAAGTCAAGACTTCTCAGCAAGCAATGAGTTTTCATAGCATCTTGATGGCCTACTGTTCATGAGTCATACTTTCAAATCTATTCCTATTTAGTATTTTAGTACTGAGAGTAAGAAAAACAGAAAGGAAGAGAGAGGGAAGGGTAGACAAAAGCTAGCTCTATCCAGGAGTGGTTGGTCATGTCTACTATATAATTCTATGGCCTAAAATCTGAAATAATGAGCATTTGTGGTTTTGAGTCCACACCATGGTATAACATTTTCAAAGGCATTTACATGACACATAGTGCCTCAGTCCAGTAACACAGCTGAGTGACCACAAGACAAACTGACACCTTGTGTGCATAGACAGGTTCATATGTCACATAAAATGTGCCTTGCATTTTAGTCTTCTTATTATTAGAGAGGTCATTTCTTTTGACATTGATCAAATATAATGTCTCAGTCTAGAAATGACTCTGCAATATACACATAAAGGGAACTAATAAGGTTATTATGCAAAGTGAATGTTGTGTGAATGGACTTTGAGTTACAGATGC